GGCAATGTGTGGGGGTAAATATAATGCAGAAAATTTGGTGTGGGGAAAATAGAGAAGGTGTGGAGTTAATAAAATATTAGTCAAGGCTAAGAGGGTTGTTGGGGGGTTTTGGGCCATTTAGAGAATGGATAAACATAAATGACATGGAGAGCAAATAAATCTTAGGGAAAGGGAAGACGGGTAAGGGTTGTCCTCGAAAAGGTTGGGGGGGGGGGGGTAAAGGGGGTTTGTGGGCGAGGGTTTGGACTTCCAGCACCTCAAATATGTAGTTGAATTTTTGGGGCGGTAAAATCGAAAACCAAAACCTTGTCATTGTGGTATATACAGCCCAAATCCCTTTCCCCAAAATTTCCCCAGGCACCCTTGAGAAAATTGACCACTGTCGGGAAATTCTCCCAACTCCTCCCCCAAACCTCTTACTACTAGGAATTTCACCTGAGACACCTAAAAGGAGGGGTAACAAACCTGTTTTTGCAGAGATCACCCCGGAGGCACTCAGATGAAAAAATTTTAAAACCACCACGAACTATTTAAAACTCTGCAACAAACACCTAAACCCCGCAAAAATAACCCACAAGACAAAAATACGCTGGGCCCATCTTCCTAACAATGACATCTATACATAATGTAACTGTATCAAAGACCTTTACCAGATCACAACAAATAGAGGACAGAAATTTTGCACAGGGGCCCCCGACAGCAAAATGTGAGCACTCATATAGGGCTCTTCACGAAAATTTAATTTTTAATAACAAAACTAAATGGGGTCAAATAAACCAGTCCCTAAATGAAACACCGGAAGAATCAAACAACACGGGTCCGAACTTTTCCTTTAAAAAAAAGAATTTTGGTTCTTGAGATCTGCTCAGGGAAAATTCCATTAAAAAAAAGAAAGAAAGATGAAACTATACAACGAAGGCGGAGAGTCACTGCTGCTGAGTGGGGTCAAAATCGAAATACGAAGGAGGCATTTTTCTGAAAATTTCAGATATAAACTTAGCTGAAGGAGTCTTTTAATAGAACAAAATCACAGGAAAAACTAAAAGCCATGAATGAAATAGAAAAAACCCAAAAAACTTCTCTTATGCCAAATCTAAGGGAAAACAAAATCTAGATTTTTGCCCCCGCTTTGGTGGGGTGGGAAAAAAACACGAGACAGCCAAGAAATGAGTGGAATAAAATCCCATTACTCAGTGTTCAGGGGAGCCCCTGCCCACTCAAGGGTCGAGAATCCAAAAGAATTTTTTATGAACGAAACCCAAAATTTGGTCATCCCAAAAATCTCGGACTTATTCTAAATCCGTAAACTTTGAAAAGGGAATTAATGACATGCCCAGCACTCTGCCCCAGGCCCCAAATCATGGAATTCGTGTTTAACAAGAATTGCAAGAACCTTCTGCTTTTATGGAGAGGGGGGCATGCACAGGGGGGCACCCACACCTAAAAAAAAACAGAAAGCCCAACTCCACAAAGTGGCAGTGAAGCGGTTTTCAAAGAACACAGACCGGTAGCACAACACCCATATCATAAAACCCCTTTAGAGGGTCTAAGAAACAAAATTGCCAACCTCCTGATACCCATCTTTTCACAAACCTGGGCAACACGGGGGAACAGGGGCCTTCTGCCTTCCCCGCTACTGGACCACAGACAAGGTCTTGGGGCTGTAAGGATAAACGAAATACAATGTAGTATCCAACTTTGCAAAAACTTTCGACAAGTTGGGCCCTGGGTAAACACACCAAAGGGGGGATAAAGGAATAACGGGAAAATTGGGAAAAGGGTCACAACTTCCGCCCAAAAAAAAACACAAAAATAACCCCAAACAGAGAAAGTCCCAGGGACCCTGTAAAAAATTCTGTTTTCCCCAAAGCACAGTCTCGCTCCATTCTATTTCCCACCCCATTTCTGACATAGAGATGTAAGCCATAGCTCCATGTCTTCCTTTTTGGGGTGACCCCAATCACCCTGGCAGTGCCCCCATCAAAACACCGCGAGACCCCAAGCGGACAAACCATATCTTTTAAAGGGCCACTCAAAACAATTTGAAGTTTAAAAGGAAAATTTTAACTACTCAATATGGGAAAACTTGAATAAAAATTTAAAAAAGTTCAGGGTATACCACAAAATCTAACCATACAAAAAGCGGGGAAAAATAATGTGAAGGACCTGGGTGTGAAATGTCAAGGATCCGCCTTCAAAGACCTCAACAGGTATCTACCTCTCCCTAGGGAAAAGATAGGGTGGAAATGGAACTTTCAAAACGAGGGGTGCCGCCCATGAGATTCTCTTCAAATTTCTTTGTCCCCTAGGGTGGAATCTGCTGTACACTAATGGCCCCCTTCAAAGGGGGCGACATTGAACCTGTAAAGTGTACAAAGAACTTTCCCCGGCCCACCAACGATGAAAACTCTACCAACAGATTCGTCCCAACCTGTCGGGCCAGCCCGAGCACCTCAGCTGCCCTGCCGTCATTGTTTACAAGCCAGGGTGGATGGTTCCACATATATATTCGATAAAAATTTGTATTCCATTGTTTTTAGTGCCTGTAACTGATAAATAAGCCACCATGGGCCCAAAGAAAGCTTCTAGTGCCAACCCTGTGGTGAAAAGGGTGAGAAATACTATCGAAATACTATCGTACCATGGTCAGCTGTTGCTGCACCATCGTCAGCTGTTGCTCCACCACCATCAGCTGTACTACTCGAAGATGTGGAGAGTGTTTTTGGTGTTGCTTAACGAGAAACAGTTACCGAGAAACAATTAACCCCAGAGGGTTAGCCACCCAAGAAAGTCAGTGCATCATCGAGGACTGTCTAACTTATTTCCATTGGGGTCCTTAAGCCTGTCCCCCAGGATGCAACCCACACCAGTCGCCTAACACCCAGGTGAACAAGAAAAATTGCCTGGAGCTAGTGTTCATATTGGTGAACTTAAGGCCAGCAAAGGTTGGTTTGAGAGATTTAAGAATCATAGTGGCATACACAGTGTGATAAGGCATGGTGAAGCTGAAAAATTCCAACCCCGACAAGTTTTCAGTTGTGACGAAACAGTCCCGTTCTGGAAGAAAATGCCAAACAGGACCTACGTTACTTATTACTCAGGAGGAAAAGGCACTCCCAGGACACAAGCCTGTGAAAGACAGGCTAACTCTCATGTTTTGTTGTAATGCTAGTGGGGATTGCAAAGTGAAGCCTTTACTCGTGAATCACTCTGAAAATCCCAGAGTGTTCAAGAAAAACAGTATCTCATCACTCATCAGTACTCTTCAATAAAGGTAAGTATCATTTTAACATTTATTTATGTAGTTATTGTGCATGTCTCATTGTTTCCTTTGTAGGGATTAATTTGGATTTCCATTATTTCTTACGGGGAAAATTAATTCGACTAACGATAAACTTGCCTAAAGATAAGCTCTCTGGAACGGATTAATATCATTGGTCGAGTGTCCCCTGTATACACTTGGAAGGTCCTGGAGGGATTGGCACCAAACCTGCACATGAAAATCACTCCATATGAAAGCAAAAGACTTGGCAGGAGATGCAACATTTCCCCAATGAAAAGCAGGGGCGCCACGAGTACACTGAGAGACTGTACAATAAGTGTCCGGGGCCCAAGACTGTTCAATTGCCTCCCAGCATACATAAGGGGGATTACCAATAGACCCTTGGCAGTCTTCAAGAAGGCACTGGACAGGCACCTAAAGTCAGTACCTGACCAACCGGGCTGTGGTTCATACGTCAGCTTGCATGCGGCCAGCAGTAACAGCATGAGGCCTGGTCTCAGACCGGGCTGCAGGGGTGTTGACCCCGAAACCCTCTCCAGGTAAGCATGCGTGAGTACGTTAGATAGGAGTGAATGGAGACGAATGGTTTTTTGGGACCTGACGAGCTGTTGGAGTGTGAGCAGGGTAATATTTAGTGAAGGGATTCAGGGAATCTGGAAATTTTTATATAGCTGGACTTGAGTCCTGGAAATGGGAAATACATTGCCTGAACTTTAAAGGAGGGGTTTGGGATATTGGGAGTTTGGAGAGATATGTTATATATCTTTATATATGCTTCTACACTGTTGTATCAGTGCCTCTGCAAAAACAGTGATTATATATGAGTGAGGTGAAAGTGTCGAATGATGTTGAAAGTATTTTCTTTTTGGGGATTTTCTTTCTTTTTGGGTTACCCTGCCTCAGTGGGAGACGGCTGACTAATAAAAAAAAATCTTTCATTCTATGAAATGAGACGAAAAAACTGCAAATTTAACTGTAAAAACTACATGAAAGTCACTGTTTTAATCCCAAAACACAGTTGCGTTTTTTCTCATCCACTGCATGCTGCAGGATATATTTTATATGGTGCACACTTACCACATAGATGCACTTCCTTATATCTAGGTCCAAATTTACCACTCACATCTTATCTGAGTGAGCTGAGCTCATGATCTACAGCTTGGACCCAGGCTTCAAGGCCGTAGAACTACAGGACGGACCTTCAAAGGGTTAATAGTTTGTTTATTCCCTACAAACAATAATCTATAATCAGTTTAGCTAGGCTTCAAGTAATAATGAAATTATTCTGTACAATGTGTGGCAATTTTATATAAAGAAGTGGACATTTTTGAATGTATCTTAATTTTAAAAATATTATTAGTTGTAATTTCATTTTTATTGTAGTATTATCTTATTCTCAAGAGTTGAAGCTACCTTTTTTTTTTATCTGTCTCTTCTTTTACCTGTGATTCATCTCATCTTTCATACACCCATTTGCTAACATATCCACATGTAAATATTGTACATTCACTTCCTATGAACTCCTCATCCCCTGTTCTTACCATGCCACGACTTCTTGCTCTCATCTATATTCTTTTTTTTTTTATACTATCTCATGAACTCCATCAACAGTTGCATCTCTTCTGAATCTCCAAAAAGCACTGCATCTTTAGCATAGAGCAATAATGTATTATATTTGCATTTCATATTTTTGATCATATATTTGTATTTCTCATAGGCTTTGGTCCTCGAGGTATGCATGGTCCAGGTGGGTTCAATGGTCCACGAGGATTATTAGCGCCTCCCCCTATGAACCTGGGTTCTTTACTTGGTAATCGACCTCCACTGATGGGAGATATGCCAAGTGGTCCTAATGCAACAGGTGGATTGAGAGGCCCAGGAGGAATGTTAGGGCAACGACCAGGTGAGCATAAAACTGACATTGTTCTGTATCTTTTTAGTATAACAATGATATATACATGAGTAATGAGATAGGGGATCAGTGTGGCAGATGTTGCAAATGTATGGAATAGGAGGTAGGTTATTGAAAGCAGTGAAGAGTTTTTACGAGGATAGTGACGCTCAGGTTAGAATATGTAGGAAAGAGGGAGATCATTTCCCAGTGAAAGTAGGCCTTAGACAGGGATGTGTGAAGTCACCATGGTTGTTCAATATATTTATAGATGGGGTTGTAAGAGAAGTGAATGCCCGGGTGTTGGCAAAAGGTGTGGGGTTAAAAGATCAAGAATCTAACACAAAGTGGGAGTTGTCACAGTTGCTCATTGCTTATGACACTGCTTATGGGAGATTCTGGAGAGAAGTTGCAGAGGTTGGTGGATGAGTTTTGGTAGGGTATGTAAAAGAAAGAAATTAAAAGTGAATGTAGGAAAGTGTAAGATGATGAGGATAACAAAAAAAATAAGGTAAAAGATTGGATATCATATTGGAGAGAGGGAGTATGGAAGAAGTGAATGTTTTCAGATATTTTGGAGTTGACTTGTCTGCGATGGGTTTATGAAGGATGAGGTTAACCATAGAAATGATGAAGAAAAAAAGGTGAGTGTTGCATTGAGGTTTGTGTGGAGACAAAAAACGTTATCCATGGAGGGAAAGAAAACAATATATAAAAGTATAGTGGTACCAATACTCTTATGTGGGTGTGAAGCTTGGGCTGTAAATGCTGCAGCGAGGCGGTGGCTGGAGGCAGTGATGTCCTATCTAAGGGCAATGTGTGGCGTATATATTATGCAGAGAATTCGTAGTGTGGAAATCAGGAATAGGTGTGGAGTTAGAGGGTTGAAGAGGGGTTGTTGAGGTGGTTTGGTCATTTGGAGAGAATGGGACAAAGTAGAATGACTTTGGAGAACATACAAATCTGTAGAGGAAGTAAGGCGGGGTGGGGGTCATCCTCGAAAAGGTTGGAGGGAAGGGATAAAGGAAGTTTTGTGGGCGAGGGGCCTGGATTTCCAGCAAGCGTGCATGAGTGTGTTAGATAGTAAATGGAGACAAATGGTTTTTGGGACCTGACAAGCTGTTGGAGTGTGAGCAGGGTAATATTTAGTGAAGGGATTCAGGGAAATGGGATATTATAGATTTAGCCAGACTTGAGTCCTGGAAATGGGAAGTATAATGCCTGCACTTTAAAGGAGGGGTGTGGGATATTGACAGTTTGGAGTGACTGTCTAAACTGTTGTATCTGGGCGCCTCTGCAAAGACAGTGATTATGTATGAGTGATGGTGAAAGTGTTGAATGATGGTGAAAGTGTTGAATGAAAGCTTTTTCTTTCTTTTTTGGGTTTTTCTTTTTTTTGGGTCACCCTGCCTTGGTGGGAAACTTCCAACATGTTAAAAAAAAATAACAATAATAATCACTCTGAAGTGCATTAAATGTCATATATTATGTTAATACGTGTATAGACATTTTCATTAATCCATCTGATATTTTTTCAAAATTATATAATAAACATGCTATATAACATGTAAACATGATAAATACACCTCACAGTAGAATAAATTCACATAAATATGAGATAATTTTCCAGTCAACTTGTCGGAGTTTTGGAAAGAATGACGTTTTCTTTAGTTCAGCACCAAAGAAAATGTGTACACAATAGTATTACTGGGGGTAACTAGGAAATTATTCCTTTCGTATGCCTTCACTCAGAGCATCAGTCCTTCTGAAAATGGTGTGTTAAATGAGAATGGAAGTGTTGCTCTTTATTTATTCCACTGTACCAACATGGAGACAACTTGTACAGAATGTAAGGTGTTTGTATTATGGTATAAGCTTCACCCCAGTGGAAATAAGTCACTCTTGACTTTTTTGGGTTATCCTAGGTAATCTACACTTTTTTTTTTTTAACACGTCGGTCATCTCCAACCAAGGCAGGGTGACCCCCTCCCAAAAAGAAGCCAAAAAGAAAGAAAAAAAAAACATTCATTATCAGTCAACACTTTCACCATCACTCGTACCATCACTGTCTTTGCAGAGGCGCCCAGATACGACAGTTTAGATAGTCACTCCAAACTGCCAGTAACCCAAACCCCTCATTTAAAGTGCAGGCACTGTACTTCCCATTTCCTGGACTCTAATCTGGCTACCGGTTTCCCTGAGTAACTACTCAAAATATTACACATGTGCTGCTCTATGTGATAATTTTTTTTTTTATTAACACATCGGCCGATTCCCACCAAGGCAGGGTGGCCCGAAAAAGAAAAACTTTCATTATCGTTCACTCCATCACTGTCTTGCCAGAAGGGTACTTCACACTTCAGTTATAAAACTGCAACATTAACACCCCTCCTTCAGAGTGCAGACACTGTACATGCCATCTCCATAACTCAAGTCCGGCCTGCCGGTTTCCCTGAATCCCTTTATAAATGTTACTTTGCTTACACTCCAGTAGCATGTTAAGTATTAAAAAACTATTTGTCTCCATTCACTCCTCAGATACGCTCACGCATGCTTTCTGGAAGTCCAAGCCCCTCGTCCACAAAACTTCCTTTACCCCCTCCCTCCAACCCTTCCTAGGCCGACCCCTACCTCGCCTTCCCTCCACTACAGATTTATACACTCTCAAAGCCATTCTGTTTTGTTCTGTTCTCTCTACATGTCCAAACCACCTCAACAATCCCTCGTCAGCCCTCTGGATAATAGCTTTGGTAATCCCACGCCTTCTCATAATTTCCAAACTACGAATTCTCTGCATTATATTCACACCATACATTCAAGATGAATGGTTCACAGAACCGACACGTTGATAAATTAGACACGTGCAACTCTTGGGTATCTTTATTAAGGAAACGTTTCGCCTACACAGTAGGCTTCTTCAGTCCATACAAAGGAGAAACGTGAAGAACAGGAGGAGAACGAGGTAATCAGTCCCTCAACCTTGAGTCGATGTGGTCAGTCCATCAATCTTGAATGGACTGACCACATCGACTCAAGGTTGAGGGACTGATTACCTCATTCTCCTCCTGTTCTTCACGTTTCTCCTTTGTATGGACTGAAGAAGCCTACTGTGTAGGCGAAACGTTTCCTTAATAAAGATACCCAAGAGTTGCACATGTGTCTAATTTATCCACACCATACATTGCACTCAGACATGACATCTCTACTGCCTCCAGTCTCCTCCTCGTTGCAACATTCATCACCGATGCTTCACACCTATACAAGAGTGTTGGTACAACAACTATACATGTATTCTCGTACATTCCCCTCTTTTCTTCCCCGGACAAAGTTCTTAGCCTTCACAGACTCCTAAGTGAACCACTCACCCTTTTCCCCTCATCAATTCTGTGATTCACCTCATCCTTCATAGACCCATCTGCTGACACGTCCCATTATCATTTACACCTGGCACCCCAAACTTACCTACCACTCCCTCTCTAAAAGTTTCTCCTACTTTAGCATTCAGGTCCCCTACCACAATTACTCTCTCACTTGGTTCAAAGGCTCCTATACATTCACTTAACATCTCCCAAAATCTCTCTCTCTCTCCTCTGCATTCCTCTCTTCTCCAGGTGCATACACGCTTATTATGACCCACTTCTCGCATCCAACCTTTACTTTAATCCACATAATTCTTGCATGTACACATTCATATTCTCTCCTCCTTCCATAACTGATCATTCAACATTACTGCTACCCCTTCCTTTGCTCTAACTCTCTCAGATACTCCAGATTTAATCCCATTTATTTCCCCCACCGAAACTCCCCTCTATATATATATATATATATATATATATATATATTATATATATATATATATATATATATATATAATATATATAATATATATATATATATATATAATATATACACACACACACACACACACACACACACACACATACACACACACACACACAGTGGACCCCCGCATAGCGAACTTAATCCGTGCAAGAGGCTGGTCGTTATGCGAAATGTTCGCTATGCGAATTAATTTTCCCCATAAGAAATAATGGAAATAAAATTAATCCGTGCAAGACACCCAAAAGTATGAAAAAAAAATTTTTTTACACAAAAAAATGTTAATTTTAGTACACACAAACTGAAAAAGGCATGCACAATTACATGACACTTACTTTTATTGAAGATGGTGATGATTGATGGAATGGGAGGAGGGAGAGAGAGTGTTAGTGTTTAGAAGGGGAATCCCCTTCCATTAGGACTTGAGGTAGCAAGTCCTTTTCTGGGTTACTTCCCTTCTTCTTTTAATGCCACTAGGACCAGCTTCAGAGTCACTGGACTTCTTCACACAACATATCTGTCCATAGTGGCCTGTACCTCTCGTTCCTTTATGATTTGTCTAAAGTGGTTCACAACAGTGTCATTGTAACAGTCACCAGCACGGCTTGCAATAGCTGTGTGAGGGTGATTTTCATCAAAAAAGGTTTGCACTTCAAGCCATTTTGCACACATTTCCTTAATCTTTGAAGTAGGCAATTCCTTCATTTCTCTCTCCCCTCCTTTGAACCAGTTTCCCCCAGGTCTGGCCTCTTGCTCTTGAAGTTGATCTATCAGCTCATCAGTGGTTAGTTCTTCATTGTCCTCCTCCACCAACTCTTCCACATCCTCCCCACTAACCTCCAACCCCAAGACTTCCCCAATTCCACAATTGATTCCTCAACTGGTATACTACTCCTCTCGGGGTTAGCCTCAAACCCTTCAAAATCCCTTTTGTCTACACATTCGGGCCACAGTTTCTTCCAAGCAGAGTTCAAGGTTCTCTTAGTCACTCCCTCCCAAGCCTTACCTATAAGGTTTACACAATTGAGGATATTAAAGTGATCCTTCCAAAACTCTTTTAGAGTCAATCGAGTGTCTGTGGTCACTTCAAAGCACTTTTGAAACAGAGCTTTTGTGTACAGTTTCTTGAAGTTGGAAATGACCTGCTGGTCCATGGGCTGCAGGAGAGGAGT